GGTCCCTGTGCTTTGCTAAGCTTGTTCTAAGTAGGTGCTTTAGACCACTGAGCCATCTCACCAGCCCAACTACAAGGGTTTTAGAGAAGAAAACCCACCTGAAAAGGTAAGTGGGAAGCTGCAAAATGAACCCACAGAATGTGAGGGAAAGAAAAAACAAAAAAAAGCAGAGCAGAAGTTAGAACCCAGAGTCAAAAGGTGGTTCTCTGAAAGACTAAGGAGGCAGTGAGGAGAAGGACACGTCAGAACACCACGGTGAGGAGCACAGCAGTACGCTGAGGGTGGGAAAGACAGCAAGGAGATACTTACAAACTACAGCTGTAAATCTGAAAATGTGAAAATTTCAAATTCTACAAAAACTGACAAGAATAAAAAAACCTAAAATATTCTTAGGACTATTAAGTAACTTTAATTAGTAGTTAAGAAGTAAAAGCTCCAACTCAAACAGTCATACTTGTAGTTCTACCAAATATTTATGAGACAAAGAATTCTGGTCTTTCATGAACTGGTCCAGGGGATGGGAAAACAGAACAACTGTCTGTTGATGTGGCCAGAACAGCCTTGACACCAAAGCCCACTGCATTAATAAGCATAGCACAAAGGTCCTATGTCAGTTACAAACACAGGCCCAGGCCATAGCTCAGTGGCACAGTGTCTGCTTGGCAAGTGTGAGGTCCCAAGTTTGACTCCAGGTAGATGATGATGATGAGGAGGAGGACGGGGAGGCAGGGGAGGTGGAGGAGAATCAGCAGCAGCACCAGGATCCAAGTTCAATCCCTGGTACCACATGCTGCATGGCCCTAGAACCCCAGGCATGGTGGCACACACCTATAATCCAGCACTGGGGAGGCTGAACAGGAGGATCATTATAAGTTTGAGATGCTTTATTAAATAATAATTTATTTATTTATTTATTTATTTATTTATTTATTTATGGAACCGGGGAATGAACTCAGGTCCTTGCATTTGCCAGGGAAAAGCTTATTACACTGAGCCATCTCTCCGGCCCCTAACATTTTTTTTTTTAAAAGTGCCTAATAAAATTAAACCCCAACTCAAAAGCTTAGTTGAAAGAAGAAATACTTAGCAAATTGGTGATAGAAAGGAACTTTCTTAAACTGATATAATGAAGCTTCCTGAAAGTTCCACTGGTCAGGAGAATGGTAACAGCTTCCCCTCCCCAAATCTTCAGGTACTTGGCCCCAGACAGTAGACCAGGCAAGAAAAACAAAATGTGTTGCCCTCAAAAAGAGGAAAAAATGACATTATTTGCAAATAATATGATTACTCAGAAAAATCCAAGAGAATCTACAAATTATTATAAATGCTAATAATGGTTCAGCAAGGTTGTTGGAAACAAAATCAACATAAAAATTGTTTTTCTATATGCCAATGAACAGTGAGAAAATAAAATTTAAAAATCCAGTATGCTATTTATAATAATAGAAGTTATTATTAGGAATAAATTGAGCAGAACAGAGCTGGAAGCAGAGCGGCACATGCAGAAGAACCTGACGCACAAGGCTGGCGCTGCGGAGCCACGGGAGAAGGCGGTGTGCATAGGCAGTACCGTGGCCGCGCAGCTGGCTCCCACCTCACACCTCACACCAAGCCAGTCAGCTTGATTAAAGAGTCCAGGCTAGACTGAGAAGGCGATTTAGCGGGATTTCCTGTACAAGACACGAAGGGTGCAAAGCATCTAGAAAAGACCAACACGGCTACATCCACTAAAACCAAGTAATTTTGTTCTTTAAAACAAAGAAGCAAAAAGACAAACCATAAACTGGGAGAACATATGTGTTACTTATGCAACTGACTAAAGATTAATACCCAGGCTATTTTATATTTGTTTTCTTATGTTTATGTTCCTATCTTATATTGGCAAGTTTCCTCTGACTCAGTGGGGAAATGCCTGGCCTCACCCAACAGTCCCTGACAGAGCGATACTCAGGAAGAGGTGCCGGCGCAATTCAGGGTAGAGAAGTGCGACGTAGCAGCAGCAGAAAGCTTTGAATTTATCCAGCAGTCAGAAGGAAAGAAGGCTGA